GATAACTTTATAAATGGTTTCAAAGTTCTGTCAAAGTATTCAATTTCTCCATTAGCTTGAGGGTAGTGTACTGGTGGTCTTTTCTGTGAAGTATTTTTCTCCCATAGACAAATTTCGTAATACGAAGAACTAAAACCATTTTTGGATACCGATTTCTGTGAGATTCCTTCTTCACTGAAAATAGGACACTGAGAAGTAATTGCAGTAGCAACTAACACTAAGGGTAGGAATAACTAGCATTCAACATCACATCCCAGGCTCTACCCCGTACTAAGTAAATGAGGGTGATCTGGGTAATTATTTCGGCAATCCTCCCTCCTCCTGTTCATGGTCACCTTGTTTGTATTAAGTGTCTTCAGAGGGTTGAGACCTATAAGCAAGCCTCAAAAGTAAGACTCGTTTTTTTCAAGTCTGAACTCAAGCTATTACTTCTTTTCAAGAGATAAACACTTTCTCTCATCTTCTATTAAGGCTGGTTTGCCCCATATCTCCCTGAGATGAATTTGAGCATCCACTGAAGTAATACTCTTAACATTCTGCACTGCAAACACGGATGTAGATAAACTTTGCATACTGTAATGTAAAATCTGGGAAAGAACCTGTTTATGCATTTCTGAAGGGGAAAGCACCTTTTGTGTCTTCAGTCATATGGCCTGAGTGAGATTTCATCTCTGTTGGGAAAATTAAGCACCCAAGTGACTTTGATAAAGTCTGTGATCTTTGTAAAATGTAAATTATAATACTTAAAATTCCCTGTACCTTACATGGCAATATATGTAGAGAGATAAAAACACTGTCTCTTCAGAGGTGATAGGGCAGTCTACATAATTATCATGTTTAAATAACAGATTAAAAATTCTACAGCTCTTCAGTATTAAAAACCCCAGTGTTATAGACCACTTGGGATGGGTTTCATTCTTGGTGAGACAGGAGGAGGGAAGGGGGAAGTTCAGTGTGATCCATGATCGACGTTGTACACAGCCATTGGTGATAAAAACAAATAGACCGTGCAAGAGGTGTTCACTCTTTATTTTTCTCTCTTCCCTCAATGTATCTCTGCTTTATGCAGGATTGCCAGATTCTTGAATTCCAGAGTCTGGAGAGATGTTTATGTTTAGAGGGACAGAAAACCAGCAGATCTTCTCTTTTCCATTTTTGGTGGTTTTTTGTCTCAATTTTTCTCTTTTTTTGGCTCTTTTTTTCTCTTTCAAAAAAAAAAAAGTCTAATATGGAAAAAATAATATTGATGCCAACTTATCTTAATATTTTGGGCTGCAAATGGCAGCAGTTCTTCACCAACTCTTTTGTGAGCAGCTGGGCATGGGAACCACTGAAAGAGCTCCAAGATAAGCGCTCTCAGCTCGTAAGTCTTTGGCGTTAGGGTAATCAAGCCTTGAAGATTGGTTGGGGCCGGTCCTGAAGGCACTTCAGTTACTGGGCCCTAGTAGATACTGGTAATAATTAAGCCAGTGTGTAATGAGAAGGTTTAGAAGCAAAGGGAAGATTGGAAATACTGTGAGTGCTGTGGCTAAAATAGATGCAATGTAAAATAAAGCAAAGTGTGCTCTTTTTTGGAGAAAGGTCCCTTTTTGGATTAGGACTCTTGCCTGTGGCAGTTTTTCTGTCCAGTCGTCTATTTAAGGACACAAATTAGATTAAGAGCACATCCCTCAAGTATTCTTCAGTGCCATTCAGCCTTGTCTCTGCAGCTTCCTACAATTTCCCTGCAGGTTTATTGTGTCTAATAGTGAGGCGTCCCTTGGATACAATTCTGAGGTCAGTGTTTTTCCCTAATGTTGCTTTACTTTCTTAGCTGAGAGAAGGGGTTCGGGAAGCAGATAGAAAGGAAAGAAGACCTTTTCATTCAGAGAAGAGAGAATATGGGTGGGAATGGTGGTCCTCTGTTAGCAAATTCATATCATTATAATTGTGTTCTTGTATGCATTTGCATTGTTCTTCCATTTCAGTCTCTTTAGTAAATATTTCCTTCAGAGAAACCAGAGCTCAATCATTAAAATAAAGGATACGTGGGAAATTGAGAGATTCTTAAATAATATGAAACATCTATAGGGGTCCATGGGATGTCAGAGAGGGGAAGTGACCAGTGATGATTGCAGAGAAGCTGCCTGAGGGAGGGGAGGCAGAGGAGGAAGAGGTGATGAAAAGCCAGAAGGAAACAGCAGAGACCTAGAAAACTGGGACAAGAAAAAGTCTGACAAAGTAAAAAAGGAACAGTGAAGAGGAGAAAAAAAATCCAATTGTTTTCTACAAAGGATTTTCAAAGAAAATGTCTGTTTACTAATAATGACATTCTGCATCATATTCTAGTGTAGCACCAGTCAAGTAAAATCATGTCAGTGTGGTGCATTAGGAGGTACAAGAGGGATGGAGTGGCTTTATTGACAGGTAGAATAAGAAACTTGGAAAATCCAGGTAGTTTTTCATTATCTGATTGTTTGAAACAGCTCTCTACCTTCCACAGCCTGACTAAAGTCTGATTTGCTGCATCACATCAGCAAAACAAAATCACAGTGTTACTCCTTGTCTAGATTAGGAGCCTGGCTACTCTGATATTACAACCTGTGGATTTCTTAGAAAAGGATGAAGTTCTGAAAGGATGGGGCGGACACACAGATCCCACCTTACAGCCCTATGGAGATTTTTACTCTAAAGTAAAACTAAATTCCTCCTTTGATATTTCGATTAACCACAAAACAAAACTGCAAACTACCCCCGCAAAAGGAACCATGGGAATGTCCCTGTTGATTTTTATTTGGAGGACTGAGGCCAGAGTGAATTATGGCAAGTTGTTTCTTTGTGCTGCAAAGGGAAACTTAAACTGTGTTTGAATATGAAATAGGAATATGCGTGCTGTCTATGTACTGTTTAGATAACGCTTCGAAATGTTGTTTTCTATACGTGCTTGTTCCATCTGCAGTTGGCCTTTGTAGGTATATTACTTAGAATCCATTTTGACGAGCCCTCTGTATCGCATCGGTATTGGTTCACTCAAAATCTATATCAACAGCCTGCTTTTAATAGGTTTGTTTCAGGACTGGTACAAAATGAAAATAAGCACATACTTAGTGTGGATTCTTGTTACGGTCAGTAAGAAAGTCAAAAGAAATCTCACATTTTCATGGTTGCAGGCGGAGTAATATGCACTTTGATTTCCTCTGCTTATCTGCTCCCTGCACAAAGAGCTGCTCGCATATGGCGATCTCCTAGAGGTGACAGCAAAGCTGGCTTCTCTTCTTCAGCTGGTTTTAGTGGGGTTGAGCCATTCTTCAGGGGAGCTGATAAGTCAAACAAGTGGTTTTTCTGTTTTCCAGATGGAGATAAGAAATGATTACTGCCAAATTAGTAACTTGTTTGTTGATCTTTCAGCATTTACTGCTGTAAACCTTCATCTTGCGCAGAAGTAGTAGTGAACAGTAAAGCTGAGGTTATTACTTCTCATCAGTAACAAGCTACTAATCTGATTGCTGCTTGTTTTCTTTTTTTTTAATTACTATCTGTAAAATTCCAAAAAAAAGATACCTATAAGAGCACGATGGAAATCTTCTTAGAAAATAGATTTACTACCTGATAGCATCGTATTTCCAGGAATGTTGCTGAGCAGAAGTAAAAATCTACTAAAAGCTTGGTTTTTGAGTCCCATGCAAGTTGCATATAGATGCTGTGTCAGGTCAATAGAGCGTATTTATGGGAAGAAATAAATATGTGCTTACCAATTCCTTAAGTGCTATTCTTGGATGCTTGAATTTATTCAGATGTGTGGGTGGTATTCTTAAAATTTTGAAATTATAATACATGCTTTCATGTCACATAGTACACTATTTCCTATGAATTACAGAAACATCAGAAGGTAAAAATTTTGTCATTCGGTAATTCAGAAATATGCTAACTTTGTGAACCTTCTAAGCCCCATTACCAAAACTTTTGTCTATCCCACAAATGAAAGCAAATGTCGAATGACTTTCGGCATGCCAGGTACAAGAAAAGCAAAGAATCTTCTATCCATCTTCTATTCTTTAGGGAATTATCTTAAACGTCAGGGTTCATACCTTGCATTTGCCAGTTTCCTGTTCTGCTTAACGGGCATGGGTCAGCCTCCTTTGCTGAAAACATTTGATGAACTGGCTTGCTTTTCCATCAGTTTAGTTTTATTTTCATTACTTTTCCCTATAATTCATTTATTGGATTCTGTATCTTTAGAAAATTTTATTACTTTCCTATTCAAGCTAAAAAATAGCTAATTTTTCTTTCCTAAATGAGTTGCTTGAAGCAAAGTACCTATGAATACATGGGTATTTTAATTCACTTACTAAGTGTATACAGAGAAAATTTACAAGCAGCCTTTTTACCATTTTTTAAGTGTCTGCTGACTGTTGCATAAGCTAAATTATTTACAGTATGATGCCTCACAAAAGAGTAGCAGATTTGGGTTATTTACTTTCCTGATAAGAAAAAGGGATTGAAGTTGCTGTGATGTGCTGCTTTGTTAATTTTATATTTGTTCCCTAGTGTGTAAAATCTTTTTAAAGAACTAACATGAGTATTGGCAGGCGCTTTTGAAATGGTATGGAAGTGGTAAGATTAAACAAAACATGAAAAGGTCTTAAAAATATAAGTCAGCAAGTGTTTGATAAAAATAAAAGTGCTCAACAATAAAAAAACCTTTAGGATGCTTTAATTTATTTGCTCTCTATTTGAGAATGGCCCCTGCACTCCATCTGGGAGTAGTTCTTGTGAGCTGTGTGTTTTGAATGATACCAAGCTGAGTATATTGAAACAGCGTGTTTGTACAGTATAATGAAAGCCATTGAAAATGGTCATGCTGAAGATCTCCCCTTAATGAGGAGATTAAAATCCATGGTGAGGTTGAAGAGTGAAATTTGCAGCTGTGTCGCTTGACAGGGTCCTTTGCCTGGAACATGTCAACCCTTGCTGTTTGCAGATGTACAGAGTCTTCACAAGGTTTCTTTCTACCCATGCAGGTGCCATAGACCAGTCTGACACCATGGCTCCCGTCATTGTAATCCCTCCACAGAATAGTAGCGTTGTAGCAGGGAGCAGCGAAATCACGCTGGAGTGTGTAGCCAATGCAAGGTATTGTAAAAGCCGCAACGGGGTCATAAGGAACGAATTTTAATGCACTGTCCTTTACCGAGAAGGACATAGGAAGTTATTTTCATTTTTTAATTAATTTAAAGATTGAAGAAGAATGCTTGCTCTTCAGAGTAACCTTATGAATAATCTTGTTTGTCCAGCGTTACTGAATTAAACATATTGATTTTTCTGGCCAAATAAGGATATAGGCAGAGTCACTTTCCCACCTGTTACTCACACGGAAAGGAAAAGTAGTATAGTGTTGTTCAATCAGCAGACGTTATCTTAAGGAAAAAGTTATGTTATGGGTTAATAATATTTCAGCTGTATTGCCTATTGACATGAGAGGTGATATTGTTGAACAGTCTGTGCTTTCTAGTAAATAAATTAGCAAGGATCTCATAAGAAGTAATTTATTATAGGTGCTTTCGTTACAGTGATTGTTGCTCAGCTGTTCATAATGCACCATAACACAGAGTTCACAGCATTCCTCCTACGTTTCCACCTAGTTGGCCTTGAATGGCATTGAATTCCAGTGGAAGCGAATAGTTGAGGTCCTCGGATGATAAGAAGACCAACTGATTCACTTTCCTCTCTGAGGGCAGAGATGTTCTTGATATGATTAATATTGTTTTGGTAATTGAGTTATAATGAAAGCACTTCCCATGCAGCTGATTCTCATAGCAGTATTTACTCCTTTTGCTTAGAGAAATCAAATTATTAGCACTTAAGTTCTATTGCTGTATCAATTAGCTGTACTTGCATAATGCCTCTTGAGCTGTCTGTAGTCTTGATGTGTAGAAATTATATATGCATTTACTTCTGCAGACAAGATTATTCTGTAATATATATGTTTTATTGTTGTATTCTTCTTTTTTTTTTTTTTTTTTTTT